AACAACTACAAAATCCTTCCAATACATACTACTGTGGTTTGCGCATCCCCCAAAAGTTCAGTTTAAAAACTTGGTCCCCAGGGAGGCACTACGGGGAGGTGCTGGAGTCTTTGAGACATGGGGCCTGGTTGGAGATCCTGGGCCACTGGGGACATACCTTTGCCCGGCTTGGGGGGGCCCAGTCTCCCTCTCTCTGAAGTCCCGTTGGGTGATGTAAGTTCCCTCACACACACACTTCCAGCATGATGTGCTGCCATCAGCTACCCTAGCAGAGATCAAACCTCTGGGCCTGCTAGATCTTGGACTTTGAATCGTCAAATACTAGGAACTAAATAAACCTTGTCTCTTTGTAAAGTTAACTGTCATTTTAGTGACAAAAAGTTGGTTAGTACCTAAATGCACTAAGTGTAGTACATAGTGGTTAAACTGCAGAATCTCCATCCACCAATCCACTACCCTGATGGAATATATTTCTTCAAAACCATTCTATTGAGTTTCTAGCATGTTCTAGGTAATATTATTAAAGCTAAGGGACTTGGACATAGTTAAAACCAAACAGAGAGACAAAAACTTCTGTCTCTGTGGATCCTGCATTGTATAGAGAGACAGACACAAACGGTATCATCGTAAGATACGTAATGTGTTCAGTAGAGCCAAGTGCTACAACAGGAAGGAGAAGGTAGGTAAAAATGTAAGATCTTACCTAGGGACTGTCTCCCTGAGAAGACTGGAAAGAAATGAGGGCGCTGGCTCTGGGACGTTCAGGAGAACACTGTGGGCAAAGGACCTCCTTAGAGCAGGAGAAGTGTTTTCTGGAACAGAAGAGGCCACTGTGGCCGATGGGAAGAAGGCGAAATCAGCAGAAGAGGGACTCAGAGTGGTGAGGGGGACGCAGGTTACATTGGACTAATTAGGGCAGAGTCAGGGCATTCGTTTTTCCACTTGAAAGAAATAGGAAAAACTACTGGGGGGGTTGGAACAGAAAGGAGTAGGTTTGTTTTGTTTTGATAGAAGTTTAAACAAGATTGTTACAGAATACTAGACTTTCAGCACAATTACAGGACTTGGGTTTTGTGTTGATAAATGTTTATTTGTAAAAGAATATATTGAGGGGAGGAGGGGTTGAGCAGCCATTTGCGTGGTGGTTAGGACAATCACATCCCGTACCTGAACCTGCTTCCAGTTCCTGCTCCACTTTGGATCCAGCTTCTTGCTAATGAGCACCCTGCGAGGCAGCAGGGGATGACACTGGTAACTGAGTCCCTGCCACCCACATGGCAGACCAGGATGGAGGCCCAGTTTCCTGGCTTTGGCATATGCAGGCATAGGGGAGTGACACAAATGAAAGATTTCTCTCTCTCTCTCTCTCTCTCTCTCTCCCCATCAATCTTTCAAATAATAAAAAAAAGAATATATATTGGAAATCCAGGCATGACACAAGAATAATCACCAAACATTTCATGAATCTAAAATAAAAATTATAGGAATATATATTATATATATTTATTATATATTTATATATATAAAATAAAGGAAGAATAGACAAAGGACTTTAAACTGCTGCTTCTAATGCAGACATAATAAAGAAAAGATGATCAAGTTGACTGCTTAAAATTAGAAAATGTTTATAAAGCAAAACAACACCAATGATGTCAAAAGACAACCGGCAAACAAGAAGAAAATAAATGCAAGTGACCTCACAGATAAGACCAGTAATCCTGCAGATATGAACAAATGTGAAAATCTGAGGGAGGGAAAGACAAAAATACACGACAGAAAAATGACAAAAGCATGAGCACAGAATTCACAAAGAGTAAGAATGTCTATTAGACCTATGAAGACATGTCCACGTGTACTCATCAGGAAAGGAATGCGAGTCACATTACATGAGATGCAATTTCTCATTTTTAGAATAGTTAAAGCTTAAAACTGTGATGACAACACATTAGATTAGTGAGCGTTTGGGGAAACAGGTGCTCTCATATATTCCTGATAGGAACATAAATTGGCACAACTCACCGAGGGGATTTATGGCGGTATCTAACAAAACAACAGAGGTGTTTACCATGTAACCCAGCAATCTCACTGCTAGGAATTTGACCAGAACATCCTTACAACAATACAAAAATAAATATGCACAAGATTATTCCCTATAACACTGAAAACTGCCCATAGTAAGCTATGGTGTAGTCACACAGTGAAGTAACACGTATCTATACAAAAGAAATAAGAGTGTTTCTGAAGTTACATGGAGTGAATGCCAGCAAATCTGTTTAACGCAGAAAGCCAAGAACAAGAGTACCTAGAGCATGCTTTCTTTCCTGTGACGGAGTTGCAATGTTTTGAATGTCCCCTCTAAGACTGTTCAACTGTAACTGCCACAGTGATGGCGTGCGGGGAGGCTGAACCTTTAAGGGGTGATAAGGTCACGGAGACTCCGCCCTTCTGAATGGGTCAATGCTGTTGCGACAATGGGTCCCCCCTCTCGCGCTCTCCCATGACAGCACCCTCTATCACATGACCACGCAGCAAAAATGACCTCACCGGATGCTGGCACCCTGGTGTTGGAATTCCCAGCCTCACACTGAGAAATAAACGTATTTTCTTTATAAATTGCCCGGTCTGTGGTTTTCTGTTACAGTAGCAGAAAACGGATTGAGACAGTAATGAAGAAGACATAAGGCAAATACTCATTCAAGCAAAAATAAAGACAGATAAACCATAAACTACTGAAATTAAAAGTGCAAATAGGGGATGGGTGAGAAGAGAAGTGATGGGGAGAAGTGTCATTTCTCTGATCATAACTCCTCATATGTGTCTGATCTTTAGAGCTGTATTAATGATTCATCTACACAAAAAATTAGAATTGGGGAGAACTAAAATGGAAAGTAAAGAGAAGCAAATTAATGTGACTGTTTCAAATGAACTAGATGGTTGCACTGAGGTAGGGATAAGTAAATAACTTTTGAACACAGTAATGTTTTTATACTTGCAGGCTATAAACAAAATGAAACTTTAAAAATGAGTGGGTTTGATTTCCACCGTGGCATGGAGTTAGCAAGCCCAAGCTTTCTGCATATTCTAGCATTGACCAAATGAGTGAACACACTGCGGATTTGGGGTCTCACTGTTGGAGAGGGGCTTACAAAGAGAAAGGAGCAAGGATGGAAAGAAATCTATGGTCATTGACTGAAATCGGAGAGTCTGTAACACAGGCGGAAACAGACTTCAGTAGACACAAGAGTGGATCTCCTTGCCCTGCCCGGAGGGTATAGAAGCAGCGATACATAGGCAACAATGAACACAGCTGGCATCCAGATCTTGGTTCCTAATACCATTCTCTACCAAGGAAGACCAGCAGTCCCTGGAGGAAGGACGAGTTTCAGTTGTGTATGTGGAAAAGTGCAAGGTGAGCCTGGGGCCTCTAACAGGAAAGACGCTGGGAACAAGTCAAAGCGACACAGGACCTCTGCCGGCCTCCACTGGCCACCTCAGGGGCCGTTTGAGCACTATAACAAGTAATGATTGTAATGAATATGACCCATTGAAGAAAGAAAGAAAGAAAGTTCACATGGTTATAGACACTGGATCCACACTGATATAGACAAATGAACGAATAAGCAAGCAGAGGAGAAGGGAAAGCTATTCTTTATGGGAGAATGCTGGCTGACGAATACAGTAATAATGACTGAATTAAAATACCACTTGTCAGCCATCAATAGGAATAATTGATTCAGGCAAGAATCATCGATGGATGCTAACACAAATGGGTGAAAATATGATGAAAGAGGCAGAAATGGCACAGTTTTAAATTACCTCCTTGCAAAAATACTTATTAATTACAAAAGGAAAAATAGTTACTTTATAGAGAGCTATCTGGAAGATACCAACGTAATAGGCCATCGGTGTCACCAGGCCAGTAAGAGGCCCAACACATCACATGCAGCTCCCATCGAGAACACTATATTCTTTCTTTAGGATTCTCCTGAAAAAAAAAAAAAAATGTAACCTGGGTCTAATCCTGAAATCCTGCAGAAACGCTAGACACACACCTCCAGGACAGTCTCCAGTCCCCAGTGACCCTGGCCTCCCAGTGCTCCTAGGGGCATAGAGGTGCCCTCCCACACCAGAAAGGGCCACTTTGTATATCAATGGGGTATCCCGGAGAGCTAGATCACAAGGACATGTGGGCTCTGCCTTTCTTGTTCCATGATGGGAGGGAACCCATCATTCAAGCTTGAGGTCAAGTGCCACTTGGTGAAGTCGCCTGGTGGAGCTGGGCCCTGGGGCCCATTGAACCCCTCAGAGCCCGCAGCTCTGGGGGAGGTCTTCACCGTGACCTCATGCAGGTCCTACGCCTCGCCAAGCTGCTGTCACGGTCCTGACCGCAGAAACTGGGTGGCCGATAAATGCAGTCCTGACCCTCAGTTTAAGGCAATTTGTTACTGTGTGATAAATACCCGATTTAAATGGCAGTCTACAGAATGTCAAAGGTTACAGAAGAAAAAACAGATACAATGGTCAAACGCAGTGCATGATCCTGGAATGATTGTGGACCAGGAAAAAAATATTGATTTTCAGTTTTGCTATAGTGAGGAATATCGAGATGGATGCTGACATTTGAACAAGCCTCTAGTGCATAAAATAGCACTGCGTTGATGCTAATTTCTTGTTTTGACCACCGCGCTGAAGTGATGGATGAGAATTCCCATGTTTCTAGAAAACACACTGAACACTTGGAGGAGAGACAAATGTCCAAGCAATAATTACAAAATTATAAACAGAGGCCTGAATGTGTACACGTGCATATCTTTGTCTAGAAAGAGTGGTAAGGAAAACAATGCAAAACATTAACATTCAGAGACTGGGAATGTCAGCGTCTGGGAATTTGCTGTATTAGTCTTGAAACGTTTTTGTGGACGCCACTTCAGCGTTCAAAGAGCAATTCCTAAATTCCGCTCGAAGGAAACCTCAACTGTTTTCTCACACCGGAGGCTGACTCCACGAACGGATCTTGGAATGGGTTCAGTGGATGCAAACCAGGACTTGTGCAAACCAGGACTTGTGCAAAGCCTAGGACCAGACAGCATCGCATGGCAGAGGAGCACAGCAGACTGGGGGCAAGCGAACATTCGGTGAAACTTCTGTTTCAGTTCTAGAAAGAAAAAAAAAGTGGGCGTGCTGCGTGGCGCGCTCCTAGTTGGAAAGCCACCGCACCGAGGCTGAGCCGGAGCCAGGCGGGCAGAGCTGCGGCCCGCCGCGGCGCGGGGGCGCCCCTCCTGCGGCTGCCACGCTCGCCGGCCCAGACGCCCGCCCCCCAGACCACATGCAGGTGTGCGCGCAGACTGAGCACACGTGCCTGCCGCTATTTAAGAGCCCGCCTGCCCCGTCTGGCAGCTGTCTGTCGCTCCGCTCCGCGTGCCTGAACGCACCCCGCCGCCGGGGCTGCAGCCGGGGCATGGGCGCCGCGGGTCCGCTCTGGGTTTTCTTGGCCGTCCTCGCGCCAGGGGTCTTCGGTGACCGAGGTAGGGACGCGTCGGGGGCAGGGAGGGGTTCTGTGCAGAGAACCCGAAGCGAGAAACTAGTGGGGCAGTGCCGGACACCTGGTGGTCTCCCGCTACTTTTGGTGAGCCGCAGCGGTCTCCTGGTGCCCCTGGAGTGGGACCAGTATCAGAACTGGAGGCTGCGCAGAGCTGCGCTGCTGGCGTCCCCGCTCTCTCCTGTGGGAGGGGCGGGAGTGGTTCGCGGGTTGCAGCAGGTGCGTGAGTGGCGCGCGCGGAGGAACGGAAGCCCACGCAGCCCGAACGCGGAGACTGCACAGATCCTTCCCCAAAGATGGTCACGCTCTGGTGTCCAAGCGAGGTTCTTAGAGTTTTTTTATTCTTGTTATTTTATTATTTACTGTGATGGGATCATTGCTAAAGAGTTCTTAAACCTTAACCATCTGGAGTCAATTTTTAAAAGCCGGGACGTGAATTTAAACTGTAGTTTCCTTAGTGCGGTTTCCCTCGTGGAACGGTGTGGGGCTCAGGACGTTTCATCAACGTTCATCTTAGCTTTTTCCCCGGCCCCCGGCCCCCGGCCCCCGCCCCAGACCGCCTCAGTTTTAAAGAAGAATTCTAACTTGTTCTGATTGCATTGCCGGGGGCTGAAAGATGGGGCTGACTTTGCAGGGCACAGTGAATTCTGGGTTTACAAAGCGTTGGCCACGGAGACACCAGCAGCTGGGCGACACTGGGCAGGTCATTTAGCTCCTGGTCTTTGATTTCTTCAACAGTGCAATGAAACTGATGGGACCTGCCCTGCCCCCTCCCTGAGCTGCCAGTGGAACCTAGGGGTACTTCCTACTAAGCTCAGTCCTAGGTCTGAGCCAGCGTTCAGGCGCTCATCTCGCAGCTGGCTAAGGTGTCTGGGATGTTGCATGTATCGGTTCTTCTACGACTTGACTTGACGGTGTGTTTTCCCAACATTTAACTGTCTCTCACACTTACCGGAACACCTCCCCACATCTTTCTCTTCTCTCATTCCCTTGGCTACCGGTGGACCCCCTTAGCATCAACACACATACACAGCTTTGTGTAACACCTCCCACACCTGACTTCTCGAAGCGTTGCATTCCTGTTTCTAAATTTCAGAGAGTATGTTACCAACTGGTTCACCAGCGCAGCCAATCATCGACCTCTCCAAGTCTGTGTGCCACACAAGAGCAGGGACACCATCCGGGTCTCTTAACTCCAGACTCATGAGGACCAGCTGGTTGGACTGCCGTGCCTCAGTTGATCCTTCTCTCCTTCTTATGCCAATATTCTAACCCTAGGCATTTTTAAAAAGATTTATTTATTTATTTATTTATTTGAAAGTCAGAGTTACACAGAGAGAGGAGAGGCAGAGAGAGAGAGAGGAGAGAGGTCTTCCATCCGATGGTTCAATCCCCAATTGGCCACAACGGCCGGAGCTAAGCAGATCTGAAGCCAGGAGCCAGGAGCTTCTTCTGGGTTTCCCACACGGGTGCAAGGGACCCAAGCACTTGGGCCATCTTCTACTGCTTTCCCAGGCCATAGCAGAGAGCTAGATCGGAAGTGGAGCAGCTGGGACTTGAACCAGCGCCCATATTGGATGCCGGCGCTTCAGGCCAGGGCGTTAACCCGCTGTGCCACAGTGTGGGCCCCAACCCTAAGCAACCCGCTACCACTCTCTAACCTTTCTAATCATGAAAAAATATTATATATTTGTAGACATATAAATATTTTTTCTTTATTCCATTCTCTTGTTCAAAAACCTAAACTGGACCCCTGCTGCCTGTGAGCAAAACCCTCCACCCCTCAGCCTGCAAACCCTTTGTGACTGGATCTCAGCAAGCCTGCCCAGCACCCCCCTTGCTCCCTGTTGCGCATGCGCTGCTCACCCTGTGGCCCTCCTGACTCCGTTACTGGTGCATCGCCCAGCCCTCCCCACTCTGTTTGCCTTTACTGCTGCTCTGTACCCTCCCAGGATCATCGCTCAGGTCTTGGTCGGTTCCTCCAGAGGTTTACAGGTTACCAGTGTGGCCTGGGAAGTGCAGACTCAGCGAGCTCTCTGGAAGACTCTGAAGCCAGTGTCTTCACTGTGCATGGCTGTGAGCGAAGTCAGTAGGAGACAAAGGACCTTTGCAGTGTTTTTTTCCCCTACCTTTTCCTTTTGTCGGTTTGCATAAATGGATTCAAACCCCCTGAACTCTTTGATTTCTCCGAGCCTTCACTAACAACCTGGTTTCATCCTACACCAAGAACCGAAACCACGAAATAGGAATTCCCTCATTTTCCAATCAGATAGTCTACAAATCTATCTCCATCTGGAATCAGACCCCTCTCTCCCCTGCTTAAAACCTGCCAAGGTCTTCCCACCCTGCCAAAGTGAAATCCATGGCCCTATCCTCAATTGCCTCTCTCTGGAATTCTCGATGTCCCCTCACTCCCCAGCTTGCAGCTACCCTGGCCTTCTCTTTACTGCTTGAGCAGAGCCTACGCTTTGCACCACGCATCCTCCCTGATGAGGCATTCTTCTTGCACTTGGGCCTTGCCTGGCCCCTTTTCGACACTTCTCAACATTCGCATCGCTGTTCACTGTCACTCTCCTCTGACTCCATCTCAACTAGTCTGCATCACAAGTCACTGTATAGCACATCACCCTGTTCTGTTTTTGTCAATCACCATCTGAAAGTCTCATATATGTATTTGTTTACCTATTTATTTCTTGTCCTCTCACTGCAATACATGTTCCAATGACAGCATGGCCTTTGTGGGTCTGCTGTCTGATCTGAATCCCTAGCACTGGTCTGTAACTAGGAATTCAGTAACTCCTGGTTGAAAGAGTGTCTCCCTTTCTGTAGCAGTAGAAGCAGTATCCTTGGCCTTGATGATCCCATGTCTCTGCTGTGTTCATGGTCAGAGCCCGCCCCCTCTTGCTGTTGCAAGGACCTGACTTCTGCAGGTAGCCCCTGTTTCTCATTGTCCGTTTGCCCTCCGTTGGGTCATCCTCATCAGTGTTTAACTATGACCCAGCACCTCCTTCGTGGGGGACAGGGAGGGCTTCTGTCACCCAGTGGGATGCTATTTTTTCTATCCCTCTTCTGCTTGCTCATATTTCCTACTCTCCTTGACCGACTTCAGACAAGCTTCATGCCCCCGAAGCTACTGTTGGCTAAGTCAGTACTGACCTTCATGCTGACAAATCCAATGTTCATTTCTGTCTTTCTCTGTCTCAGTCTTTCAGCAAAAGTGATTACTTCCTCTGTCTTGAAACAGTTTGATTTTATCTTCCAAAACAGGACTTTCATGCTTGTTCTTTCTACACCTCCCTGGTTACTCTCAGTCTCTTTTGCCTTTATTTAAATATATCAGGGTCCTTAGGGTTGGCGCTGTGGCGTAGCAGGTAAAGCCGCCAACAGCAGTGCCGGCATCCCATAGGGGCACTGGTTTGAGTCCTGGATGCTCCCTCCACTTCCGATTCAGCTCTCTGCTATGGCCTGGGAAAGCTGTAGAAGATGGCCCAAGTCCTTGGGCCCCTGTGCCCGACTGGGAGACCCAGAAGAAGCTCCTGGCTCCTGACTTCAAAACTGCACAGCTCTGGCTGTTGGTGGCCATCTGGGGAGTTAAACAGCGGATGGAAGACCACCCCCCACTCTACCTCTTCCTCTCTGTAATTCTGCCTTTAAAATAAATATTTTATACACATACACACACACACACGCCAAGGTCCTGAAGTTTATCCCTGGACCTCTGCCTTCTCCCTATCTCCTTCCTAAGGGATCTCGTCCATTCTCATGCTTCATCTACTATTATATGTTGATGACCTGCTATCTGTAGTACTAACCTCTCTCGTGAGCTGCAGTTTGTGCATCTAACCACCTCCTTGGCGTCTTCATCTGGATGCTCAGTAGGTGTGTGAAATACATCAAGTCTGATGTAGAATGGAGTCTCTACACATTCCTGCTGCCCACAGCTTGCACCTGTACGTACAGCTTATTTCTTTTCCAGGCTTTCCCGTCCCAGTCCAGGCTGTTCCCATCAATCAAGTAGCTCAAGTTAAACTCCTAGCAAGTCTTACCAAGCCCTACATCTAATCCAGCAGAACATCTTGCTAATTTGATTTCTAAAATGTTTTCCAAATATATTCATTTCTCTAATTGCCTCTCTTTGGTCCAAGCCTCATTTTGTTTGCCTTGAACTTCATGCCAATCCCTTCTCCATGCAGCTGCCAGAATAGTTTTAAAAAAGTGAATCAGGTCACGTGGCTCTCCTGTTTGGCCTCTCCAGTGTTATCCTTTGAGGATAGCATCCAGCATCTTTCTGTGGTCCAGGGAACCCTACTTGATCCCCCTTGCTGAGCTTTCTAACTCGATCTTGAACCTCCCAGTCTTGCTCACTGTGTTCCAGCCATCCTTGCCCTCCATCTATCCACGCAGCATATCCGATCCATTCCTGCTGGGAGGACTCTGCCTAAAATGTTGTATCCAGCCTTCACCTGGCTGGCTCCTCCTTATCTTTCAGTTACAACTTCAATGTCACTACTTATGCCTCCAGTGCATACGTCATAACTGTCATAACTGAAGTTGCCTGCTGCCCTGCCTCCTCCTGCTTCAGGTACATTGCATTCTGACACATTACTCTGCTCATTTCGTTATCAGCACCATGTAATTTATTTCCTGGTATTTAAATATGGCCTGTCTTCCTCTATGGAATTTAAATTCTCTAAGGGCAGGAAGCTGGGCTCTGAAGGTCACTGATGCATCTCCTGTGCTAGGGACGATGCCTTGGTTAATATGAATAACCGTCATTTAAAATTTGTTTATCAGCTAGCCAGGAAACCCAGTATTACGGTGTTTGATTATTATCCTCAATAATAATTCCCCCTTCTATCTGCTTCCTGGCCAACTTTTTGGTTTTATTTTTATTACCATATATTCTTTATTTCAAATGAATCTCTAAGCCATTCCACATAAAGCCCCTTGGGCCCAAATAAAGACTTAACATGCATCCTGCCTCTC